AATCACCCAAGTGATCCAATGCTTCAGTTTGGTTGGTAAATTAAACGGGCCGGGGGAGAAACAATCTTCTATTCCGCTTTTCTGCGGATTTTTGATTCTCTTTCTTGGTGCCCAAATCACTGGAACGGTAAGATTATCCAAATCAGTGAAAGGATACACACAGTCGAATAGTCCGACCCGGAAATCCAATAGAAACACGAAGAGGTGGTACCGTGATGTGGAAGCTAGTAAATACTTACCAGGATCCTCGGCCTGTTTGATCAGTATCTTGGTTTGAATGGCCCTGGACGGATAGGCGATTGAGCGAAAGTCACACAAAGATTTCACCTGCGTGCCCTGTTTTTGGCTTTGGGCTGAAAACGGTTGGGTTGGGGAATGGGGATAGAAACGATGCTGTTCAGTGTGTTATGTGATCAGGTAGATGCAGAGCGACAACATCGTGTACATACCCTTATGGGGATTTACGCGCCCGCGTTCGCACAGGTTCCGGTGCGGACAGTCGTTTTGTATTCCAAACGGGAGAATTTATTTTTTTTTATTGATAATTCTGCCATGTCAGTCGTAAAAGAAGAAGAGTGCAGTCAATCGGATCATGTCGGCACGATATTTCTTTTAAGCCTGTGCAACACTGAACGGTTCAATGAGGACACGTTTGATCTGGTCACTCGAATAATAAATTAGGAGTCCGGCAGTGAATGGATCTGGCAACCGGGTACATTCCACATTCTATCATCTATTCAAAAGTAGTTTCTGAAGCTCTAACTTCATCTCCATTGCAACGGTTTTCAGTTCTCGTGTATGACCGTTTAAATTTGGGCAACCCTGAGTGTCGCGATAATAGTATAAAGTTTCACCTCAAAATTGAAAAATTTTTCACGCAAGGCAGCGTAGAATTTCAGTATCTCTAATGAATAATTGCTTTTTCCTCAGGGTGTTTATTCCGGTCAAAACACGCCTCTTTTTCATTCGGTGCGTAGTAAAGAACTGAATTATTGCTACATTTCTGGGGCCCAGTAACTTGATAGATTTTATGCCTACAAAGCGTTCACCCTAAATCTCTTATCCTGAAGGAACTAAGCCCATGGCCTTAGAAACATAAAACTTCGATCTTCACAATTTGACCTTGAGCCGTGCGGCTCGTTGAATGAGCGTTTTGTAGTGCCATTATGCCCGAACCGGATGAAGCATCCAAGAGTGTTTGGCGTACGGTTGAGGCCGAGAGGAAACTCAATTGACGAATGCATTAATCTGACAATTCAACCTCTGACTTTTGCGAGTGCTTTCATGTGAATATGAGCCCAATTTATTGCATAATGAATGAAATTTCTCCATCAAGACATAAAATAAGGCCACGAAAACCCATCACATTAAAGCAAGACGATGCCTGAATGGCATTGTCGCCGTGAAGATTCACAAACAACCATAACAGTGGAAAGTTGGGGAATTTACCACCTTTTTCTCATGGCACCGGTTGGAGAATAGTGGCACAATTAAAAGTTCAGCTAAGTTTACCTGATACGTGGCTGTTATCGAACGCCCAAACAAAGCAGAACACGTATACTGAATCAACAGTTGTCGTCAAAATCGGGAAATCGCACATTTCAGTGCCATTTGACCCATAGAAGCGAAACCAAACATGGATATTACTACATGCATGTTTCGTCTGAAGTCTGAATATAGCATTCTATCCTGTGAATGAAACTGAGCTCTGGAAGGAACAAATCTGAAGAGAGTCAGGGTTTTGTAAGAGTTTGATCAATGCCTGTATATTGTTTAAAAATAACTGGGTGCGCGTGTTTTTGATGTTCATGCAAACGTCTGTTTAAAATCTAACAGTTTCACTTCGGACTCATCTTACGTCAACACGGACGCTGATATTCCGTGTATGTGTGTGTATGTGTATATGTGGTTAAACTGGATCACTCACTCATTTCGAGAATTCCCAATTATTCTTCTATTAGATAAAAACTTTCTTCCACTACATTAAAAAAATCGTAATCAACAATGAACTGGTTGGGCTACAGTTGTTTCCTTAAGATCATGTGACGTGAATTCCTTTACTTTTTCTTCGCTCCTAGGTTATTTTTGATTCAAAGTGAAAAACAGTCATTCTGTCAAATGTGGTTACGAGAATAGATAATCAATGTTTCAGAAGGACTGCAAAATTACAGCGGACATCATTTTGACGAATACGGGAACCAATGAACGGGGGGGGGCTCGCGTGCAATGTAAAAGCGACGGAAGTAGTCATTTTGACTAGCTGTTGTTATTGGTGACTTGTAAACACATTGTCAGTTCGCTTTGTGATTTCACCAATGTTCTCGTTCAAGCAAAGCCAACTTTTACAACAACAATAAAAAATGTCAAAGGAACTACAACCCGAAATATTCTCCCGCTATACATAGTTGAACACATTGTTTTGCTGAGCCCACCATTATTGATTTATGTTCAGATAACCCTATAACATATTCATGAAAATCAAGGCAAAGCTTGATCCCAATATATATATGTACATATAATACCTGACGTGGGACAAACGGAAACAATGATTCGGCGTTAGACTGCAGACGTTGCAATTTCTGACATGACATTTTAAATATGTCATCGTACACGGAGAAACAGAGAAACATTATTAGAAAAGCAAAATATCACTGTAATTTGTTTCTGCATTGATAGGGGTGCTGATCTCAATGTTTAGTGGTGTATATATACACAACAAAGTTGCCCGACTATCTTGTATACATGCGTTCTACCTCTGTTCAAAGCATACTCATAATGGTTTCCAATTTTTGTTTGACTTCCTGTTCAATCTTAAACAGAAAATAATTCATCATTTATTAGTAATCTATCTACCCGTAGAAGATCATGAACCAATAAGACGCAGATTAAGAAGATTAGAATGGATTCGTGGTCTCTAGAGCAAAAGTATACCAATGTATTATTTTATTTTATGTAACTAAGATCGTTTCTATGCGTTCGAACAACATGGTTCTCAGTCTGTTCAGCTTTCGGGAAACCCAATCGATTATTGAGCGTTTGAAAATGCAATTCAATAATCTAGTGTGTTGTCCTCCCCCAGTTACCTGACACGTTTTAATTCACCCACACAATAACTTTGAGTACTATAATTGTTTGAGCAGATTCCGCGACCGATCACGAATCTGGGAGAAGAAAACAAGGTCACTTTGAGTTACATTCTAGGGTCGCATCATTCGATTTTACCTGTAATGATGTTGAGATTTTAAAATGATGATGGCTTGAACTATTTCGATACGGTTTTGCACCGCACTAGTTGCAATTCGATTAAATGAAAAAATTCTTCCAATTTCGTTTCATGTTATCTTCCTATTTCCCTTATTTTTTATATATGTAATGAATATATATATGTATATAATATGAATCTCAAAAATGTCAAGGTGATCTGTTTGGACAGTAAAATTATGGGTCAGTTAGTTGTCGAGTCTCTATTAGCATACCACAAAAGCCAATATGATCGTGTCTACCGCGGTGCAACGACTCGAGATCGATAATGCCAGTAATTCGACCCTAATTTACAAGCTACAGATTTCAGATTTCATCTTTGATTCTTCTGGTTTGTCATACGTTTTTGACAAATTGCAAAACACTCAAGAATTTTCTGTCCCATTCACCCTCTCTCTCTTCAAATCCCGTCAGATGTTTGAAATCTGTCTTCTTTCCTATCTGAATCGATAATAATTTGCTCTGAAGCACTGTCCCTGTATTAAATACCGCGCGTTCAACATATAGTCCGACAAGTTCGACGACTTTCTTTTCATATCCGTAAACTTCGTCATTTTCGTATTCAACAATCACTTATCACCAGATTCGTGTACCAGTGTGTTTCCCATTTTACTATATTGTTTGACTGCTATTTTTATCCAGTCTTCTAACGAAAGATTTTAAGCTACTTCAACGTTGACTGACCAGCATTAGCCGCGTCTCTCAAATCCGAATGGAGGAGTTGGTAACTAACCTGCGCGGATGTTATTTGATGTCATACATGTGGTACGTTTGCACTTTAGACTCTTATCAACTCCTCCCATCCGCGACACGTAGATTTGACCTCATACTGCTCACTCCCGTCAACTGAGTACCATACTGTCGTCTTCCCTCTCGATCAACATATATTGCAGCTCTATGGTACCCTTTTTAGCCCATATTTAATTTATCTAAGAACAAATTCTCACAAACAATTTTACCTGCGTTTGGACTTCATGTTTTTTCTCCTTTTTCTCCAAATTTGTACACGATTAACTGAAATAGTGGCTTTATACCTCAGGGGGTTACAGTTACAGTTCCAATTACTACTTTGTAAATTATTATTTTCGAAGAAAATCTACGATATCGGAGTGTATTTCATAGTATCGCTCAGCAGGCGGGAAAAACTAATACCTCAAGTATACACACACACACACACACACCAACCTCGCTTCGAAAAATGTCATTCATTTTAACCAAACGTCCCAACCCATTCCGGGTTTCCATCGTTACTATCGATCAAAGGTTATGCTTATGTCTACCGGCTCGATATATGAACTCAATTTGTTTTATGGGTGCTGCTCGGCTGTCAAAAATACCCGTCTCTTTCGCACTCTCTCTCTCTCTCTATGCATTGATGCAATGACTCCACCCAGGCAGAAGTAAAATATATGGTATGAATACAAAGGGGCCTTTCATAAACCTTTTTAAATATGTGGAAAAAATGTATAATTTACCACAAACCGGTTTGGATGACACACTATTAACGCTTGTTTTCAAACACGGTGAACGATAGATTTTCTGAAGCATGCGACGGAGGTAACTTCAAAGCATTTCGGTTTTCATGACCGTCAATCAATTATGCTCGTGATATAAAGTATATTTAACAATCGTGATTTATTTAACTCAATTGTTTCACTTCCTACTTGCTTCATATACCCCTCAACCTTCTTTAATCACAATAAACCTACCAGACATGCTCGTCACTCGTGTTGGTCAAGTTGAAATTTCAATAAAGAAGCCGAAAAACAGGTTTGCACAATGTATCCTGGATCATTTCGCTCCATCTGTACACGCGCATATTGCAGTCTGTGATCATTAATATATGGTCAGTAAATAACAGAATCATAGGCGGAGAACGATTTCGGTCAAAATTACTCACCAAACACATTTGTTACCAAGGTAGCGCCAGAGTGATTGATGTTGTTCGGTATTGATGTTCTATATCCACCATTTTTGCTTTGAACCAGCCAAGGGTATCTTCATTTGTCGGTTGCAGGGTTGAGAAATTGTCGAAAAAGGCTTCCATTTTCGCTTGAGAATCCATACGGTTAGACTTCCGTGGTGGAACACA